CTTTGACCCCGCTTGGCACATTTTTCTCTTCGGACGGAGCTATGCCCAGATCAGCTATGAATTTCACACCCAGCTGCTGCCCTGATTTGATCAGTTCATCAAGTAAATCGGATCGAACGCTGATTATTTTCGAACTATAAATATAATTAAGAATTTCTGCAAAAATTTCTGCTCTCACAAAGCTCAGTTCAACCACTTGACCAGCCACTGAGAAAAGCTGGTGAAAATAGGTGCTTGAGGCCGAAAGGATGTTTCTGTGAGCTCGAAATTTCCGGTCCTCCACGATGACTGTAACATCACAAAAAAGTCCATGGCCACGTTGTTCATTCAAAGACTGAAGAAGCACACTAGAATACTGTGTGTCTGTTGCAGAGATGAGTTTTTTCCCCTCCATCCCTACAAAAGGAAAGTAAAAAGTATCAAATTAGTAAAAATACAGACACATAGTTTTAACTGCGTGACAACATTCCCATATTTACTGTCTATTCCTTCTTTCAAAGAAAACAAATCTGAGATACTGTTCATAAGGATATATGCTACAGCACTTGGCAAATTTGTTTCTTCTTATTTGCCCTTTCACCTTCTACACAAGGTAAGTAATTCTGAATATATCCTCTACTCTTACAAGGTAAGGAACAGAGAAACAACTGCTTATTTTATGCAACAGCAAATACAGTAAATTTTACAACCAAGTAGATGGAAGATTTGAGTCTCTCAAACAGCTCTAAACACTATTAGACATTTCTTTCTGATTGTGAAAATATTCTACAAATTGTTATGAGAAAGCCCAATAACATGAAGTTATTCATGGGCCAGACAGCAGTATCTGTATATCACCAGTCAACTGAGCTAATGAAAAGCTATGGATACCGCACTTCCTGCCCCAGAAAAATAAACTTTTTTTAACCCCTCGTCATACATTCGCAAGACTATTTTGTATTTCAAACCGAGACACCGAGGCAGCACGGCAACAAAACAGACCCGCAAAGTCAAACTAACCCCTCTCTCGGCACTGCCCCCTTCACAGCCCCCAACGGGCTGAAAAAAACAACATCAAAATATAGAACACCGAAACTTTTATTTCCGCAGGCCGGGCCGGGCCGGGCCGGGCCGGATGAGCCGCCGAGGCCGGAGCCCCGCGGCCGCCGCACGTCCGACCCCGCTCCCCCCGCGGCCCCGGCGGGGCTTTACCGTGAGAACGAGCGCCCCGAGCGCCGCCGCGGGTGTGCCGCGGGCGGCCCAGCAGGACCGGCGGCTCCGGGAGCGGCCTGGCGGCAGCGGCCCGGACCCACGGGCGGCCCCTCCGCCGCTCGGCCCTCGTCGAGCCGGGGAGAGCCCCCGGCGGTGCGGGAGCCGAGCCCCGCGCTGCCCCGGTGCCCCCGCGGTACCGCGTTACCTGCCCGCGATGCGGCCGCGGCCCCGCCGCCTCCCCGCGCACCCGCCGCGCCTCGGCCGCCGGGGGGCGCTGCCCGCGCTGCCCTCGGCCCTGACCCGAGAGGCCTCGGGAACCTTCGCGCCGGGGCGGGGCCGGGCCGCGCTCCCGCCCCCGCGCCGGGGCTCGCCCGCAGCCCCTCGGCCGCGCGGCTCCGGGGCTCCCGGACACCGCCCGGGTGGCGGCCCCCCGCCGGCAGAACACCCCCCCCCCCGCGTGTGGGTCCCGGCCCTGCCCCACCGCAGGCCTTGGGCAGCTCGGGCCTCACGCACGGGCCTCGCCGCGGCCTTGGCAGTTCCCGCCCGGCTGTCCCGGCACCTGCCTTGTGCCCGGCCGTGTGGATGAGGCCGTGCAGACGTTATTTCCCGCTGCGGCTCATTTCCTTCCCGGGGGCAGGGACCGAGCTGGCGCTACTCCGCCGGGGGTGACGCAGCTGTGGCACCTCCGCCCAGCACCGAGCGGGGCTGTAACCCGGCCTGGCACCGCTGTAACCCCACCCTGGGCACCACTGTATAACCCGGCCTGGCACCGCTGTATAACCCGACCTGGCACCGCTGTATAATCCAATCCTGGGCACCCTTGTAACCCAGCTCTGGGCACCGCTGTATAATCGACCCTGGGCACCCCTGTAACCCAGCTCTGGGTTACCCTCACACCTCTGCGACCCCACTCTGGGCACCCCTGTATAACCCCACCCTGGGCACCCCTGCATAATCTGACCCTGGGCACCCTTGCCCACGCTGCAGGAGCGCTGGTTTGGTGCTCTTTGCACCTCGCTGGCACATCTTGGACCCCGCTGGCAGCTATGCAGACGTGCACGGCCTCCACACAAAGTATCTTTGACAAAATGCACGACAGGTTCCAGGTTTGACACATGGCCATCAAAGCGACACATCCACAATGCGGCCTCTTGGAAACTGTCACTGTTCTGGAACGCTCAAAGAGCGCCAAGATCATAAAAGATATTTTTCATCTTACTGATCTGTTCTATTCTTTTTTTCCTATGGATTTTGTGGACTTGAACCACAGGGGTCCCTATTTTTCTTTAAGATTTAAAAACTTTGACAAGAACAAATGTTCTCCTGTGAAGTTCGACCAAAAACAGGAATAGGCCACAGTCACTGGCAGTAACAGCTGCAATCCCTCACACTACATATATCAGCAATGAAATGATCCTGCCCCAGCATATGAGCCCTTCTAGCAAGAAAATCACTGCCAGCCTCCCTATATTTGTATAGTTAGTAGTGTTTGTATAGTTAGTGCCTTTTGGAAGCAAGCTTTCATATCTGAAATGTTATAAACCAGTTTCTGTTTATTTATAGCTTTTACCAGAGAGTCAAGTGGAGGAGAATAAATAACAGAAAAGAATAATCGGGGAAAAGGTAGGCTTTTCTTCCTCATATAACTCTTCAATTAAGTTTTCTCCTTTGATCCAGGTTCCTAGTTATTTTTACACAGGGATATATTAAATGAAAATAATACTATAATTGTTTTAATTCTTAATCCAGTGTTCTTTTTACTCCTCCAAAAATGTGTGATGGCCCAAATTAAACCATTTCTTAGCCATTCATTCTCCAGTTTCAAGGAGTTTTGTCCTAATTGCCTATCCCATTCCTAAACAGCGAACAGGAGAATTTACAGCTAAAGATGAGTTTGGAAGGAGCCCTGCTCCTGAGGCATCACCAGTTCTCAGAAATCAGGTTTGAACTGCTTACCCTTAGGCATAGAAATACTGGCTGATTTAAAAGCTGCTGGTCTAACTGGGAGAGCTGCACCACCTCCTTGACTTTTACCTTATTTGCAAAAGCTTCTCTCTATGTCAACTTCTTTTATCAGATACAAATCTGAACCCCACTGTCATCTTGCTGTGGTCAGGACAGAGCTAATGCTCTGAGCAGCTTAAATTTGACCAAAGCTGCCACTCAGTCCTCCTGCACTTGAATGCAGAATTTCAACATTCATATTTTTTTGTCTAGCGTGCAATTCTTAGTTCTGGGGTTGTTTTTTCCTCTTTTATTTTTAGATAAGATTAGAAAGTGTCAGGTGATTCAAGTCACATCAACACTTACACAGTGATGATTTAAAAGAACCATTTTATCTAAGATACTAATAAGAAACATCTAAAACATAGAACTAAACGTGCTATTCTTGGAACTGAAAAAAATAGCTAAGAGACACAATGGCAACTTTTATTTTGTTGTGTAGAAGTGATCAAAAAAACTCTGGGATTGAGCCTCTGAAAATATGAAGTACAAATTTAATGAAGTGATGTCAGGCTTTTGTGAGAAGACAAAAAAATACGCAATTCACTGACAAGTTTTCAGTTAAGCAGTGTGAGGAGCTCTCTTGTTTTTAAAAATTCCAGTTTGAGAGAACAGAACGTTTTTAAAGATCTGACAAATCTGAGAGACAAAGAAGCATTCTCCATCTCATGACGTGTGCCGTGACTCCCCGCCCCACGGGAGGTACTAGGTGTTCCCACCTGAGCCCAAATGTATGTAACTCGTGAGATCTTTTGAGTTTTGAGGGGAGGAGGGGGCTTCCCCCAAGCGATCAAGACCATCACTTCGACAGGACTGTGACCACCATCTTCAACCAACAGAACACTGAAGGTGCAACTACCGAGTTTCATCGCTGGATCCAGCGAGTGGTGACTACATATATCTTTCCATTTTTATCCTTTCTTTCTCTTCCTTATACATTTCCTTAAGTGTTACTTTTATGCTTTAATATTGCTGTATTACTTCAGATGATAAGAAACAAAACGGCTACACACCTGTTTTCCTTTGAAACAAAATTGCTCTAAAATAAACCCTACATATATGTTTACAAACACCGATCATTCAGTGTCGTTTCACTTTAATCCACCCCAAGGGATTTATTAACAAGAACCTGGGTTGCCCTCCCCTTCTGGGGCGGGTCGTATCAAGTCCAACCATCAACCCAGTACCATCATTAAACCACGACCTCAAGTGCTACACGTTTTATGAACACTTCCAGGGATGGTGCCTCCACCACTTCCCTGGGCTTTACAACCCTTTGTAAAGGGTTGCATTGGGCTTTCCAATGCTTTACAACCCTTTCCGTGAAAAACATTTCCCTAATATCCAATCTAAACCTCCCCTGGCGCCACTTGAGGCCGTTTCCCCTCGCCCTGTCAATGCTCCCCTGACACGCTGCCGTATCAGGCCGTGCCGGGACCCGCCGGATTTCCAGCACTCCCAACCAGACCGTGACGGTGTGGGGCCCGGGCAGGGAAGGCGAGCCCCGGCGGAGTAGGGTGAGCTGTCCGGGGCGGCCCGGGAGCAGCACTGCCCCGGACAGCTCCCGGGGCCGCGGCCCCGCGCCGGTACCCGCCGCCCCCGCCGCCGGCGCGCCCTCCGCCACCACCTCACCTGCCGCCGCCGTTGTCCGCGCGTCCGTCGCTGCCGGGCGGCACAAAGGGAGCCGCCGGAGCCGCCGGTGCCGCCCGCGCCGGAGGGGCGGTGACCCCGCGGGCGGGGCCGCCCCGCGCCCGCCCGGCCGAGAGGCGCCGGAAGTGGCCGTAAGCGGCCGGAAGCACCTCCCCCGCCCCTTGGCCGCCATGGCGCCCGTGTCGCGCTCCCGCTCCCCGCCCGCCGCCAGCCCCGAGCGCCGCACCCGCCGATCCCGATCCCGGTCCCGGTCCCGCGAGCGCAACGGCCCGAGGCGCCCGAGCCACTGGCGGAGCCGCAGCCGGTCGCGGTCGCGCAGCCCCGGCCCGCCGCGCTCCGCCGCGCACCACGGGCACCACCACCACGGCAAGGGCTGGCCCGAGTACTACGAGAAGGAGAAGGAGGAGATCCTACGGCAGAGGTGAGCGCTGGGCCGGGTCGGGACTGTCCTGCCGGTTGCCGGCGGGGTCTGGGGGTGCTGTGGGAGGGTGGCGGGCCCGGCGCTGCACGGCCCGGCCATGGGTCTCGGCCCCTCCGGACGCTCCCCCGGCCGTGCCCGCGGACATGGCCGGGCCGGGGCTCGGCTGGGAGGGGGTAACACCTCTGCAGTGTGGGGGTACTTCTGCCAGCCCCCCCGCCTGGGAGTTGGCTCCTTGCGCCTGTTTTTTTCTTTTCCGTACTGCCATTAACAAGGGTGACAAGTACCACGTTTAAAGTGTTTATGTACTGGGTGTGGCACGCAAGGGTTCAGTGAAGGTGTTTTCCTTTACAGGAGACTCAATGAGAGAGAGAGAATTGGAGAGCTGGGGGCTCCTGAAGTCTGGGGGCTGTCACCAAAGGTTCCTGACCCTGAGTAAGGCTTATTCTTTCTTCTTTTCTTCCGTTTTTTATGTTAATTTAATTTACAAAAATGCCTTATCCCTGCGCTAGTCCCATTGCCACAGTTCTTGTTGTATCAGTTAACTTCTGAATCAACATAATATAAGATTATTACTTTTTTCCCCCCAGTAATTCCAATATGTGATTTATTGTAGATCAATAAATTGATCTACAACTATTGTGACCTTTGTGTTGTGGTTCTGAAAGCAGTTCCCATGCTGAAAATTAACCCTTTAATAGTTTACTCCATTGCAAGTATTGACTCAAAATCTGCAAGCCTTTGGTCACATGTGTATCTTTGATCTTGAGTACTACAAAATAGATCTTAAATAGCAAACTGTTGTTTTTATTCAGTTCTGATGAGCATACACCGGTAGAAGATGAAGAGGCCAAATCGAAGAGTAGTTCTTCAGATTCCAGCTCAGAAGGTATTTTGTTTGGCTTACACAGCTTGTTTTGAAAATGGGAAGCTATTGAAGTCTAGAATCTGCTGCAGTTGCTTGCTGGAGGGTTACTGGTTTTGATGGCTGGAAGTGAGTGGGCTCCAGTTCAAAGGAGAGCGTTACCTTGGGAAGATTGGGAAGTGCATATGGAGCTAGTTGATTGATCTCTAATGTTATGTTTTCAAAACATTCTAGAGGAAAAGAAGAAAAAGAAGAAGAAAAGAAAGAAGAAAAAACGTAAGGCATCCAAAAGAAAGCGCAGAAAACATTCTGAGGACAGCGACAGTGAGTCGGAGTCTGAGCAGAACTCCAGTGGTAAGACAGGAGGGTTTCGGTGTGTGAGGGCTGAACACAAACTGACACTTCTGGCTTTTATTGCATGCTTGCAGTGTTTTGAAATTACAGAGCTGTAGCATCAATCCATGGTCTTTGCTTTCACCATCTTGCTGAGTTTGTAGTGCCTTTTCCTTGAGTGCTTGAAGTCTGGCCTCAGGAAATGGGATTTCTGAGTTAAGCATCCATTGGGTATCTCACCACAGAGATCTGTTTGATATGTTCTCATATTCATCAGTACTGCAGGTAGCTTTCTTAGTATTGCTTGATATCTAAACAGTCGTGTCTGAGAAGCTGTGTGTGTACTAGGGCATTCTGGTGGAGGCAGTTCAGTACAGTAAACTACTTAGTTATAGCTAATAATCTCTTTCTGATAATGATATCCTTTATTTTTTTTCAGATGAAGATAAAAAGAAAAGCAAGAAGAGGAAAAAGAAGAGCAAAAAGTAAGTGCCCAGGTTGCTGTGTGTAGTTCTGGCTTCTTTGGCTGGAGGGCAGCTCCACTTTCTTCACAGGCTCTGAGGGAGTCTGAGCACTCTGATAATTCAGGCTGCAAGTGCTGACAAGTAATATTAATTTGATGGATTTTCTTTAAATCAACAGAATCGTGCAGCATAGACAACTCCCTGCAAGTGTAGAGCCACTTTCTAACGCTCTGTGAAAGCCATTGTCTTGGGTTTGCTGTAAGGTATTTTCTTTGAAACAACAATCTGTATGCAGCCAGCCAGTCTTCCCATAAGTAGAAGTTACCTTGAGAAACTAATGATTTGAGTATGATTCCAAGCAAATTTTGGTAAATAGTATGTCTGTCTGACTTTATCACAGGAAGAAGTACAAGAAAAAGAAAAATAAGAAGAGCAGGAAGGAATCCAGTGATTCCAGTAGCGAAGATTCCGATGATGAAACAGTTCAAGGGGATGATCTCTGGATTGAAAGATCAAGTAGGTTCACCTGACTTTAAATTTGGATTGAAACGTTTTAGTGTCCTTTTTGTGAATTCTCTTAGGTCATGCTGACCTGTGGAACACTTCTGATAACAAAGAACAATGGGCACAATATCAATCTTCCTCATTATTTGATTGTTGCAGAAAATACCGAAGCCGATAGCTTGATTGGACCAGAGGCTCCCAAAACTCATGCGTCTCAGGATGACAGGCCTTTGAAGTGAGTAGCCAGCTCTAACAGTACTTTGATCAAATCAAGTAAATCAAGCATGAAAGTTACTGTTCAAAAGGGCTGTTACAACAATATGGCATGCAGAGGGAGAAATGCTGTGCCAGAAACTTGCAAACAGAAGTGCTATTGGTGCTAGCCTTTCCCTTGGCCTGAATTTGGGTAGAAAGGTCTGGTTTATGCTTCTTAGTCTGGATTCCTAGAAAATCAATTGTAAGGTACCTTTATTCTAAAGCTCTGCAGTGTTGTGACTTTGTAGTGTCTTCTTCATTGTTTAATCAGAATGCACTCAACTGGTAATTTAAG